CAGACGCTGATAAAGTTCTTTCTAATGACTTTCTAATAAGCCTTAACAGTTTTCTAGTTCTACTAATCATCTTCTCTACTGAAATCAATTTTCTCACAGCCATTTGATATATGCCAAATTCTGACAATTGCCCAAAGTAGCCTTTTTTTAGCCTTTAATATATTTACCATATTCTAACAGTCTGTTAAGTACATAACTATCATCTGCTTTCTCTTAACTATACCTTTTGTGGTCTGTCATTTGTCTTAGTTACCGGAGCATCATATTTGTCTATGTTTAATAGCACTGATCCTCTTAAAAAATCCATCACATCTTGTCATCATAAGAACAATATTGTATTCCAACTATCTTGTTGTAGAAACATGATTATTTTGGCAGTATAATAAGTCATGTCTGATCTGTGTTGACCTCTAGGGTCATGGATGTTCATGCATTAATTGTTAAAATATTAAACACTTACCCTGCACATATAATAGGATAGAATGTATACTTTACATTGTAAGCCATTTTGTTATTATTTGGGCTCAACTTGACATATTGGTTACACATGGAAGTATAGCACCTTAACCGCTTACCTAAGGACTTAAGTCATTCTTTTTATACATCTATCTACCCATTTAAATTTGCTTCTTAGCATTATGTCCCACTTTTACTCCAGAAAATCAATTTCAGGGATTTTTAAACTGAAAGTGAAAAACTAATAACTTTAGAGTTTAATTATCATCTGACTGCCACCTTGGTATTATGCCTACTTAGCAGGTCAGAACCTCAGATAGAATAAAGTGACAAAACAATGCATATACTTGAACAGTTATGTGTTTCCCTTTATTTTTGCTTAGGAAGGTTCAAACATATAAACAAAATTTGAAAACAAAAGTAAAGATAAGTTAACATTTGCAACTAGCTTCCCTCAATGTTTGGAAAGATTATTAAAACATTTTTCAAACTTTCCAAGTTTGGGAGAATTTAACCAAGCGGTGAACAATGAAGTTTTCTCACATAGGAAAGATTGAGAAAACAATTAGCTACTGCTAAATCTCCACAAAATTGATGTGACATTTTATCTAGGAGAGATTACTACAATTATCTTTACATAAATCTTCATCTTTCTTCTGATCCCCAGCTGGAAAAAAAAACAAGTTCACTTTCCTAAAGTTAAATTTTCCTATACATAGATAAAATATCTAATAAATCATTCAGTTTCAAGCATGATCCACTTTCAAGCAGAAATGTGGTTCTAAAAAAATTGTAGGCAAGGTGTGCATAATTTTACAAAACCACTAAATTTATTTCTTAACTCAATTAAAGAAATTGAAAGATTGAACAATCACATTTTTCAAGCACTACAAGTGTCTGAACTGAAAAATTTTAATCTAACAGCTACAGTGTCTTTTCTACTGGCTATCAACATTTAATAAGTTATTATTACAAGTTTGTATTATTTATAAAATCCTTGAATTATTTATTGTTTTTTGCTGTTTCCAATAATTTGTCATGCTGATTTAATTTATTCTGTTAAACAAAGGTACAAATGAATTCATTCAGCTTAATATAAAGTAAATAATACAGGAGTTGATTTAAAAAGGCAGGATACAACACTAATGTAGTGGTATTAATTAACTTCCAGGTAAACCTTTGATAACATAAACAGTGTTCTCTTTAAAAACAATTAGAAGCTCATCAGTTGGTACAAGACTTTAATTAGGAAATATCACCCTACTTCATTTATTACTGATTAAATACAAAATATGATCAAAACATAACAAAGGTCCTTGACCTAAAAACCAAACAAATTTTTAAAAAATCAAAAAATTATGATATGGTTTCTGTTTTTAGCCCGTCTTTAAACTGATGCTAATGTGGCACATGTTTCAAGTTTGCCTGTGTCTAAACTGATGCCAAGGTGGCACATGGTTCAAGTTGGCCTGTCTCTAAACTGAATGCCAATGTGACACATGGTTCAAGCTTGCCTGTCTCTAAACTGATGCCAAGGTGGCACATTGGTTCAAGTTGACCTGTCTCTAAACCGATGCCAAGGTGGCACATGGTTCAAGCTTGCCTGTCTCTAAACTGATGCCAAGGCGGCACATTGGTTTTACCTGACCTAGCTGTATTTACTGGTGCCAAGATTGCACACTGGTTAAGGCTTACTTACTGCAATATTCAGCCTGGCAATAATGCTGCTTTGAATGCAAAGGGTGTAAACACAAATGGGAGAAATTACACACAGAGTTATTGGATATTTTTCATATTCTGTTAATAAAATATTTACATTAAAATGTTCATACATGTACAATACAGTGAAACTAATTAAAGAAGGCGGCAAGAAAAAATCTCCAGTATCTAAGCAACAAGTTATATTTCACTTCCAGGCTTATAAATATCTTATATCTCATTTAAAATCTGAAAAACGAAACTCTGAGAATTTATATCAATTACTAACACATATACACAAAAACAAGCAAAAAAGAAACACTGGGAAAGTAAACTTAAAAGAAATTACTAAATATATACTTTCACAGCCAGCAACTTAGAAAATCAAATCATCTTTCCTACTTACTTTTTTTCTAATAAGAATCAATAAACTTAAGACCTTAATTGAAAAAAGAATTTCAATGAACATTATTTGATTGTATAAGTTGAAATATGAATTAACAAATACTATAACAATATAATCATGTAAAATTATTCTCTACCCAATATTGATGATTTCACAATATATTGTAATATTTCTGGCATTCTGCTAGGCTTGTTCACATGTATTGTCCAGGGTATATTAATCACTTTTCTACTATTGTATTTTATAGCTACAATGTTAGTGACGCATTGATTTCTGATCAAATTGATACAATGCCATCATGTTTTCCTGCCATCAACAATCACATAATACTTACTGGGACATGTTGGAGAAGTACCAGGGGAGGGGGAGGGGCATTTATATTCTATATTTTCTATATCCTTTTGTTCTTTTTTTCTTATATCTGTTCTGCATTTCATTATTTGAAGCATTCTAAACAATTAATAAAAAGGTAGTTGTGTTCCATACTTAATTTTTTTTTGTAACATTGCAAAACTTATTATGTTAAATCTGTACAATTGACTTTTCCTGAATTACAAAATTAAGTCCATTGTTAACCATATGGATTATAATATTTGAATGCTTCTATCAGTCAAAAGTATAGAGTCTGACCGGAAACGAAGGCTTGCTTGGATTTATACAAGTGGCATAACAGGACTTTCATTTTCACTGATTATCAACATTCAAAGGGTAACACTGTAATACATTTCTGAAAATATTAGACCATTATTTTTTTTGTTAAGTTTTTTGTGTTTGTTTGTTGGGTTTAATTCAAAGCAACACTATGACTTTCCATGCATTGAAAATGAAGGCATTTGTGGAAAACCATAGAATTTCTTTAAGCTGGCTGGATAGTTTACTGAGATTAAAAGAATCCAAAGGCACTACTGGTAAATCCTTAATAAAGAGGATTTGAACCTGAGGGAGAAGTTATTTAAGTCAGAAAACATAACCACCAGGCCAGGGAGGGCCCAAGAATACAATAACTTAGAATGACAAAACAGACTAGGGAAAGTGAACAGATTCTTTCCATTGTTATACATTATTATTTATACATTAATTCATTATCTATAACAAGAATACACAACATAACATGCTTGTGGTAATGTTTTACAGGATTCTGATAAGTTTCATATGTACTTTATTACTGAAGTATTCACATAAGCTTACAATCTTCATGCCTTTAATGCATGCATGTTTAGGAATACAGTAGATATGTAATTATATGCATCATTTAAGTTAATTATAATTATCATGATGTGTATCTTATATCTGGCAAATTACCTCACCTTCTATAGCTAACTGTATGTTTGTTTAGGACTGCTTCTATTTCTGTAACACACTGTGTGTCTACCACTAGGTTGACCTGTTTGACTGACTGATTTAATGATTGATTGATTGATTTACTGGCTGATTAATCTAACACAGCCTAGGTACAATTAAATGTATAGACTGTTTGTGCTATAATGTTCTAGAAATATTAATAACGCTTTACTCAATGCTTGACATTTCTTCATAGAACCCAGTCAAATAAGTCAGTTAATAACAAAATCTTCTTTCAGACCATACATGGACTACCCAAAATGAAACTTAGGGTTTCAGCAATCAAATATATAATCTCATACCAACTTAATAAAATGTTTAAATCTGCTGAATTGGCATAAAAGACTTTTCAAGCACTGAATTGGAAACTTAAATAATCAAATGCCAAAATTGAGCTTTTAACAGTTAAAGAGTCTGATGAGATGGCAAGAAAGTGAATGAAGGCTAGCAGGACTCTTAATCCTGATGGTAAAGAGTTTTGATGTTTTTTTTGCAAACAATCAAGAGATTAATGTTCTTTTGACATTTCAAAGTATTATGCAACATTCTGTAACGGTGTATCTTTCATATAAAAGCCATATTGAACTACCCCATCATAATGCAGTTATCTTTGAAAACCATTACAATCACCAGTAATCCCTCAAATAAAACAACAACTAGTTTCTATTATAAGAAAAGATCACTATCAGATGTAAATCCAGATGAAATAAATGCCTTAAAACAACTCTTGATTGTTATAGTCAATTCTATATACAGTAAAATGATGATTTAACCTTAAGATAAATGAAACTATAAACATGTACATTGTACATGTAATAAGAACAAATCAGCCATGAAGAGGTTATTACTGACCACAGATAATAACAGTCTTAAGCTAGCAACACAGCATTATATCAGTACCACCATCTGTACAGAGACACCATACTGTTAGCTAATAATTATTATATTTTAAAGTTCCAAAGTCAATAACAGACAGCTACATGTTCAGGGTACTCAGATGTTAATTACAATATATATGAATAAATAAATTCAATAATTTATTTTATAACATACAATCACAAATGAATAAATGTTAATTAATATAACAACATATACAGACCTGTATTTCTTGAAGAAGTTGTACTTTTCTTTCACGTATTTGATCCAGCAACAACTTCTCATCCGAAGTAAGATCTATAAGCAAACACAAAACACATCCTTTAATAATCCAACAACAAGATATAGCACAGAATAATGTATTTCCAAGCACTTAAGAACTACACATATACATTGCACAGCATTTCTTTAACTTAAGTTTAATAAATATATTTCACAGTGAGTTACAACATGTATGTCCAAATTCAAACAATATTTCAACACTAATTGACAGACAAAAAAAACAACTAAAAACTTTTCAGCAACTTCATAAAATCTGTAGTAACTTATTTGAATTCCCAAAATGCATTTATATGCTTTGTAATAATTCCATATTTAACACTTACTGTCAAAGATATTATTTTCATAACCTAGTATTGAACACAAAGATTGATCTTTTGGGTACATTTATTCCAACACCTATTACATTACGTTGACACCTTTTATGAAATAACAGTGGAAGATTTTATTGTATTTTTAATCCATAGAAAACACACTGCACCAGTTGTAATTTACTTGTCACAGCTGTGTTACAATGGGTGATACACTGCCAGACTCCACCTTTTTTTCTAAATAAAGTCTCTTTTATAGTCAGATGTACACATCACCTCTCCACTTTCACCCCTTTGTATACAGACTGCAACCATGTGAGCTTGAGTTTGCTTAGTGTGGTTCTAAAAATAGCAATTTATTGGAAACAGACTGGTACACATTCATTTAAACAGAATACTGGCTTGCTAAGAAACTGTTAATGAAAATCAGGCACCAGTCCAGCAGGAGAACAGCTGGAGAGCCTTCAAATCATAATTAGTCATGAAAATATCAGTAAATTATTGGCAAGAATCACTTATGTCAAGATTTCAATTTAATTGCCCCATATTATTTTTGTAATATAAATATCATACAAAAACATATTTGAAAATTACAGCTCTCAAAAATACTTTTTACATTATAAAATAAAAGATTTAAATGTATATAGTTGTACATGTAGGTTCATGTCGTTCACTGTATCGTTAAATTAACAAGGACAGTCTGTCTCTATAAGTAGATGGGATCTAAATAGAAAAAAACTCCTCATCAAAATGAAAAAAAAATATGATTACTAGTAAATTTCTTTAGATCTACAAAGTTTTGCGTAAACATCCATGAGAAAGAAAATGAAAAGATAAAATACCATTATAAATTCCTTTCATTTTTATTACAATTTTAGCTTATCATTAACAAAACAACATACTCAGTCAGTGTAGGGTACTGTACCACCATATAGATGACTGGATAATTTTAAGAAACTATATTTTTCATGTAATTTTTCATGTCATTTTTTACCATTTAAAGTATGGTATTGATTTTCTTTGTTTACAACAGTAACATTGATCAGCAAGCAATCACTATGACATGACTCACAATAATGATTACATTGTGAAATCAACCATTATATCAATAAGTCACATTCAGTGACGCAATATACATGTATCATCACTGTTAAACTCATTTAACTAGAAAAACAACATTCTCCAATCTATACACAATCATTAGTAATACACAGTATAATTATAAAACCTTTGATGTTTTGACCCAAATACCTTAAGTTTGTTTAATGTATTCTTCATATTTTTTTGCTTTTATTTTATTTTTTTAGTGTTTTTAAATTGATTCTGTATATTGAATAACTTTTGTTAATATTTGTTGTATACATATCAAATCTTTTGTTTGTAAATTTATATATTATGTCAATTTGATAGAGGGAAGACTGTGCTTGTCTTGCCTAACTGTGTTTGCCTCTTTAAATAAAGGACTCAGACTGAGAGAAACAGAGAAGTAACCTTGAAACTTAATTTACATAGATTAAACTTTAAGAGTATATTATTACCTTGAAAGTTTGATTTTAGTATCTGAGGCCTGAACATCAGATTTTGACATAATGTTGACCGTGAATTCCTTTCTTTCATCAAGAAAACTCAAAGTTTACTGTCTACATTGGTTTCATTCAATTACAACCATAAACTTAACATTAGCTGTTTAACAAGGAAGAAACAAACAAAGGATTGGCTAGCCCAGGCGTATTTGAATAAAATATATGATGGTGTGCATTTATATTATTTAATGATATGGTGTCCTATTTGGACCAGTTTTGTCATCATTGAAAGCAAAGTGAGAATATAGAGAAACTTTAAAAAAAAAATTCAGTGAGCTATAAAAAAAATGTTCAACTCAACGGTTAGTCAACCCATATTTATAATATAATATTACTGGTAATAAGATGCATAAACTTTTTTCCTCTTTCCATCAAGCATTTATGAAACAATGTTCATTACATATTTTTGCTAATGGAGATTTACAAGTTTTATTGAGGAATGCATGCATATTTGTCAATGGAAATTTATGATTGTTAGGTACCCAAGTTATTTTTATTCCATTTTCTTTTTACAAAATATCTTTAATCAATTAATGTCATTTACCTTTCTTTTAATATGCTTAAAGATTAGGGCTGTGTATTGTCAGGGTACAGGTGATACAATATGAATCACAATACAGAAGAGCAATATGCAAACCGGTCTGCGATACACTAGTAAATGCCTGAATGATAAAATAATTATATTCAAAATGTTTTAACAGTACAAATAAACATTACAATTATTTCATTTTTCAGTAATTTTCTTGTGTTTAAGTTAAAGATAGCGAAACTTCTTGTTGCTAGCTTTGGGGTAAATCTTTATTTTTGTATATGTAACACGTTTCGGATATGCTAAAAAATTATGCTGTTTATATTAAAAAGGTATGTTTCATAAGCTTAATTATATAGTATTAAAAGCAAGACCTGTATCAGAATTTCTCCTTCAGTTATTACAAAAAGAAATTGCGAAATCTGGCAATACGAATATTTGTGTCCGAAATTCACAACAAATTTATGATGTACCGAGAGTTTGGACGTTGTTTACAGCCCTATTAAAGATATAATTTATTTGCTTATCTTTGGGTAAAATACATTTAGTGAAATCTAGGAAACATATAATTTGTATAAGAGAATTTTCAAACTATGTTTGGGTAGCTGCATTTCTTCTGACATTGCTGCAATGCAACAAACCATGTACAATGTACGTTTTCCACAGAACTATTGTGTCAATTGTCTATATGCTTGAAATTAAAGTAGTAGTTTACCACTGTCAGACTATAAGTATCATGTGCACAAAATCAATTAAGACAGTTGGACTTAGTGTTGTCCCGATTGTCTCTGAAAATCGATAACTAATCGGATCACCCAAAAATCGGCAACAATCGATAGTCCTTTTTAACAATCGATTATTTTAATGATCTTCCACCCCTGAATTGCCTAGGGCGTTACTTTTTTACACAGAGTCAAATAGAAGTTTCCCGACCAAATCTCTTTAATTCCAGAGGATCCTATAGTCTTTTTTGTTTGCCTTATCAAAAAAGAAATACAGAAAAAAACATGGCTAGTGAATAAGTGGGCAATTTGAACAGCTTTGATTCCTGAAGATCAAAGCAAATTCATCTACGCCTGTCACAAAGTAGTATTAGGTATTTGTGTTGTTTGTTTTGAATTCAAAGAGAAAATCTTACTTTAATCAAGGAGACAAGAGCTTATTTATTCTCAAAATATGGTCACTACTGTATAAAAAATACATACAAGGATTGGTACCTTAAACGAAAAAGGGCCAAAAAAAATGCACAACTCGATTACACTATCGGAAGACAATCGATTGTGGTGATCCGATTATCGATAGTGATTTTTGTGTCCGATACCCAACACTAAAGTCCAACAAGTAACCAGTAGCCTAATCAATTATGGGTGAATAATTAACCCTTTGTATCATAGTTTGGGTACCTTTCTGTTGAAAAAGTGTCAGAGTTAAATCGTATACATATACATGCACAGTGCGGTAACTGGAGTGCGGGTATCAGTTACCCGCACTCCAGATAATGCCCGTGGATTGGTTCATTTTTGCCGGGGTTTACATATTGTGACGGCAGAGAAAGGGAAAGGGGCAGAACTATCATATTCAAATGCTCGTTCATTGGTTATTTTTTTCTGGGGTTTCATATTATGACAACAGGGAACGTGTTGTCATGTTTGACTATGATACAAAAGAGAAAGAACACCAAAACACTCGGCAATCTGATTTATACTCGGGGGCTACGCCCCCTCGTACAAATCAGATAACCTCGTGTTTCGGTGCTCTTTCTATTACTTATACAGACTGTTTTTTATCTACTGTTTAAGTATTTACCCTAAATCATGGGGGTGGAACCATTTTTTTTTGTAAGGAAGGAACCAAAGTCCAGGTATATACCGTGGACTTCCTGATTTGCCCTTTGGCTGTAAGTACATCAAATATTAAAATTGTTTTAGTGTCTATCTTTTCAGGTATCATTGAAGGTACTGAAAACACAAGAGAGATTTAAAGAAAAATAAATGAAAGGGAAAACACTTGCAATCTGATTTACTAAAATTTTATTATATTTAAACTAAAAGGCGATTTATAACAGTTTCTAATAATTTTACAGAGCTGTATTATTTCCAGTTTTATAAAACTTTCTGTCTGAAAACGAAACAACAGAATTTTAGGGATAACAGGGCTAATCCTGGGGGGAAATTTTAGGGAGAAGTGACTTCCTCGCGAAAAATAAGGAGAAGGGAAACAGCCCAATGTGCATGCATTAACATGCATGGCTATACATCCTTAACTATAATATAAACACAAACTATTTATCAGCTATTTATAAGCTTTCCGCTACATATTTGTTTATACTCTATATTTTCATGAAGATTTATTGATAATATTGTGTAAGGAAAAATTAATTTCATATTTTTACTTTCCTCACTTTTAATAGAAGATAAAGTTTCAAACAAAATTTGCCTATTGTTCTGATATATGATCTTGAGTGTGTGTGTATTTGCGTTTATTTATACTTGCCACCGGTTGCCCATATGGGCGAGTCCTCCAGAAGAGTTTTAGTCATTTTATTTTTTTGGAGGATAGTGCAATTACAGATACAGAAAGATGCCCCAATTCCAGAAGCTTCTCCTGGTTCTTTAGCGTGCCAAGTGTTTAAGCACCCATACACGGGACCTCGATTTAAAGTCTCATCCGAAAGACTGATTAGTAATTTTAGTTGGCCAGCCCGGGAATCGAACCCGGGAATCGAACCCACAATGTCGAGATTATAAGTCTCACGCTCGAGCTATGCGGGCTGGCTATATGATCTTGAATGTTGTAATGTCATATTTATGTGCATATAGTTATGCTAATAAAACAATTTTCAAACATCGAAGAATATGTAAAATATGTACTGCAAACATTTGTGCACATTATATTTGATCACTAAAATTATATACATTCATTTCTTATTGAAAAATTTGACTGAGAAATTATAGAAAATAAATTTCTAATTACCTCCCTTTATTTTCATGAAATGTTAAACTTGGTAATATCTTTATAAATAATGCTTTTTGAAATTTACAATATTGATAAATCTTAATCTGAGCGTCATATTTATGACATTAAAACAAATATATATATTGAAACAATAAGAACACTTCTTTCCTGACAAATTTTGTTGTTATATACATGTACACATGATATATGACCAATATGTAGCATGCCGATCATGA